CTTTATTAGCACTATGAACTTCTGTGTAACTTTTTTCCATATGTCTTATGTAGTTGCACACATTTTTCTTGTTGGTGCTCAATCCTCCATTCAAGTTGACCATGTCCTTTTTATATTACTCCCGTTAGTATGTGAGAGATTCCCTGCTTTCTGGCACAAGATAGACCAGGCTCATCTTGTATATTTCCTAACACAGACTTGGAATCAGCCATTTCTACCAAAAACTCTTGTTCTTTTTAGTGAGGAATGGTTCTTAGAGACTATAATCTGGATGCTAGGGCTTCTCGTTGACATTGGATTGTAATTGCTTCTGAGCTTTTTTAGTAGACAGAATTATATCTCATTATTTTCTAAATTTTTTAAATGTTTTATTTATTTTTGAGAGAGAGAGAGAGAGAGAGAGAGAGAGAACATGAATGAGGAGGGGCAGAGAGAGAAGGAGACAGAGAATCCAAAGCAGGCTCCGTACTGTCAGTGCAAAGCCTGATGTGGGGCTCGAACCCATGAACCGTGAGATCATGACCTGAGCTGAATTATAAATAAATTATCAAATAAATAAATTATCAAAAGCCAATATCCTCAAGGGTAGTAAGGTTGAAATGACACTTAACCGAGTGAGCCACCCAGGTGCCCCATCATTATTTTTAAAGTAAGCAAATATATCTATATTATAAGCAAAACTTCTTGCCTATATTGAGGAGGCCAAGTGTTTGTTGAATGACATTTTATAAAACTTTTCCAACTACTACCTGACATTGTTTGCTTCCAGCAAAAACAAAAGTCATTTTTGCCCTTATGTGATATGTGTTCTTGAGATATTCTTGCACAAGCTCTTCTAGCCGTTTTTTTTTTTTTTGGCATAATATTTACTGTAGCTCACTTCTAGATGAGACAACTGCTCTTACATTCTAGCTTTTATTAAATTTGAAAGTGATCTTAGATGCTGTGATTTTTTGAATAAGCATGCATCTATAGTAGTGTGCCTTCTCCAAACTAACATAGTTTTTTAGAGTCTAGACTGTATGATACAAACCACAAATCAAGGAAGGAAGATGTAATTCAATTCTATAAAATAGTGATTCAACATTTACTGGATTAATCTTTCCATTAGCAACCTGACACGAATTAGTCATTGTGGAGGCATAGTGATTCATTGTGGTCCCTGGCCTTGGGAACTTTTTTCTTAAGTGGAATAGGACAGATGAGATATTTATTCTGTACCAAGAATAAGGATATTAATGTTTTTGAGATTTGAAACTTCAGATAGGCTTAATTTGTGGAGCACATTTGTATATAGTAGCAATAAATTATCAAAAGCCAATATCCTCAAGGGTAGTAAGGTTGAAATGACATAGGTGAATTATAGATCCCTTAAAGGGTACTGAGTAAAATTAAGGATTTCTCTGTCTATCCCAATGTATTGCTAACTTTAAGAAACTCATCTCAGAGAATGACATTTTCACTCTCAGGCACAAACTAGTGGGATGCAACCAGTGTTCTGACCAAGAGGAGTATTTTAAAAAATATTTTCTTAGTTCTCAAAAATAAATAGTATATCACAGATGGTTCCAATACACTTCATCCAATGAAAGGAAAAAGAGAACTAATTATACACAAAAGTTGGGAGTATAAACTTTTAGTAGATAGTCTCAGTTTGGAAATTGGATTAAGAAATGAGAAAATGTTGGCTGGAGATCATACAGCCTTTTGTGTAAGCCAGAGTTTGACTTTCATTAGAGTTCTAGTATTAAGAATTTCAGTCAGAGTTTGAAACTTATTACCTTCATTATATGCCTACTTTGTGCAAAATATTATGCTGAGCACTCTTTGGAAATTGAGGTGGGGATGGAGAAAAGTAACAAGATACAGACACCATATGGAGATGGGGGTAGAGGAGGAGAGGAGAAGGTAACGAGAACAGGAAGGTAACAAGGAGAATGAAGTTGTTTGAAATGACGTGAAGAAAACAGATTTATAACAATTTATTGATGATGTCACCTAGTACAGACTGAAAAAAGTGCTAAATTGGTATTACAGATAAGCTGTTGTAAGAATACGAAGGGGAGAGAGAATAGTCCTGAGTGGTGGGTGATTGTGAAAGACTTCAAGGAGGAGGGTATATTAAACTAAAGCCTTGAAAGATGGGAGAGAATCTTAGAGGAAGAAGCATAGAAGGACGTTCTAGGTTGAGAGAATGGCATCCTCCAAAGAGATAGGGAGTGGGATGAGAAATGAAACTGGGAAGTTAAGTTTAGGGCCAAATTACAAAAGTCCAGAAATATCTCAGTAATAAGTCTAGATTTTAATGATGTTTGCTCTTTATCTAGGCCAAGTCTTTATCTCATACTCTCCAGAGTACTCTACCAATAAACAAGTGTTCTCCTTCACACTTTAGAAAATACACCCCTCTTGGGGGCGCCTGGGTGGCTCAGTGGGTTAAGCGTCGGACTCTTGGTTTCGGCTCAGGTCCTGATCTCACGATTTCGTTGAGTTCGAGCCCCATGTTAGTACGGAACCCACTTGGGATTCTTTCTCTCTCCCTCCTTGTCTGCGCCCTCCCCTGCCCCCATCTCTTGTCTCTCTCAAAATAAAGAAATAAACTTAAAAAAAAAGAAAGAAAGAAAATACACCCCTCTTTATGACATTTTAACATTTTTTCCATCTATAACTCTACTATGTGTACCAGCAGTCTGATTTTCAAGTTCTTTGGTAAGAGAAATTATTAACACTATAAATAGGCATTTTTAAATATTCTTCAAATAATCATGCCTATCTGAATACATTAGCATTTAATGTTAATATGAATTATTCAGGGAATACTCAAAGGACATTTATAAATAGTATTCAGCACAAAACAGACAAAAATGAATAAATATTACCCTAGTTTAATGAATCCTCTCAAATATCCTTATTTACCATTTGCCCTATTGTATTTGTAGATTTGATTTTGCAAAGTATCCTGTTTCCTAAGTTGTGGGAGAGAGATTTTATTCTTGAATCTGAATTTCATGTAGATCTTACCTTATAAAAAACAGTGCATTATTTTTTATTGCTCAACAAATGTTATCACTTACATTTGATGAGTTACATCTTGAAGTTTTGTGTAAGAGTGGTTTTGCTTTGATTTTCATCTATTCAGTTTTCTTATCTGTTCATTTCAGTTCTCATTTGTTCAGTGGTCTTTTTTGCTTCTTAAAAGTATTTTTTTGCTAGAATTTTTCTAACTTTCAGAATTCAGGTAAATTTGAAAGATTATGCAGGTCCTTCATGGATATCATTTTTCTTCTGTTCTCAACATTATAGGAAAGCACTTTTTCAAGAATTGAGATCATTTGAGTTTTTTCCCAGTGGGCTTTGTATTAGAACCACAAAAATTAATATTGTATTTAACTAAAGTGAAAGGATAGAAGTTTTTTATCCTACACTCTACTCACTTCCCAGTCTTCTACAACTGTATCTGCCTTTGTTCTGTTCTTTTACTATTTATCACACAATTGTCAACTGTATTATTTAATACTGGACTTGTTTTACTTGAGCTACTGTTGTTCATTTTCTTGAAACCTTACACTGGAATGTAACTCAAACCTAGATTTATTTCAGTGTTGAATTTGACACTTGAGGCATTGTTATTAAATTAGGAAAGGAACAGATATAATGTGCCCATCCTGAATGGTTTCCTACAGTAGACATTGTGTTTTTCTAGTGCAGTTTTTGCTACGAGCAGTAATTCATGAGATCAGTGAGTCAGTCAGTGCACAGCTATTTATTATTGGTCATCTACAATATACAAATCAACTATATGTGCATGTAATATCTATCCTTACCTTCTTCCTGACCTCCAGATGCACATATTCTACTGCCAAGGAGACATCTTTACTTAGATAGCAGGCATCTCAAAGTTAACACGGTTAGAAACAAACTTCCAGTTTTTTCACTGACCTGTACCTCTTCTAGTTTATTCATCTTAAAAATTGGCACCACCCTCTACCCAATTATTTGGGCCAAAATTTTGGGAGCCGTTCTTGAATCCTTTGTTTCCCTCACCCCAAATTTGTTCCCTGCTCTACCCCACCACCTACAACATCAGCAAGGCTATTGACTCTTCCTACGGACAATATGCGTGATGTGCACACAGGCCTTTCCTGCACTCCTGCTACCCCAGTCCAGGCCACCGTCGTCTCCAGCTGGACTTCTGCTCCTGCTCCTAACTCCCCAGTTCGTTTTTCCCTCTTTTATAATAGATTCTCCACAGATACCTAGAGTGATCTTTTTAATACACGGCATATATTAGGCCGTGTTCATGTCTCACTTTAAACTCTCTAAAGCCTTCCTCCCACACTTCAACACCACACTCCTAACCTTAGCCTATAGAGCTGTATGTGATCTGGCCCCTGCCCTTTTCCACTCTTGCCTCATTTCACACCATTCCCTGCGTTTCCCCTACATTCCAGCCACACTGGCCTTACTTTTCTCTAACTCACCAAACTGGTTCTTGCCTTGGAACCTTTGCACAGTTAGGAATGCTGGAATGCTTTGCTCCTTCCCTGGAATGCTTTGCTCCTTTACCTGGAATGCTTTACCTGGAATGCTTTGCTCCTTCCCTGACCACTCAGTCTAAAGTAAAGTAAATTAAGTTGTTGCACCGTGTAGTATACGTATTTTAATGTCTTCAGTTTCATAGCACTTCTCAGAATGCAAAACTTCTTTTCATTGTTTATAATCTGCCTCTTCCCCCCACTAAATAGTATTCCCACTAAAAAATATGGCTCTAGGAAGGCAGTGACCTGTGTACTTACTAATGTATCCCCAGCATCTGGAACAGTGCCAGACACATCGTAAATAGTCAGTGGGTATTGAATGAACAATGTTTGAATGGACTGTGACAAATGTTACCTATGCATCCCTTAACAGCAGTATTGAAATGGTTCTTTTGATACCATTAATATTATTTTATTAATAGGATAACAGAGCTCTCTATTTCTCTCTTGTTTATGCTTTAGATATGAAGCCCCACAGATTGCCTTACGTTGTGGGATTATGCTGAGAGAATGTATCCGACATGAACCACTTGCCAAAATCATCCTCTTTTCTAATCAGTTCCGAGATTTCTTTAAGTATGTGGAGTTGTCAACATTTGATATTGCTTCAGATGCCTTTGCTACTTTTAAGGTAATTTTTTTTTAATCAGCTAGTTCATTTAGTTTCAGCATTTAGTTAAAGTCAATTAGCCTCCAAAGAGACAGTTTAATTAAAACGCAGAAAAAGCTATTCCTGAGGTCTGAGTATAACCGACTGTGAATTACGACACAAACCGCAAGAGCATCGATAATGCATTCTATTAGACCAGTCTATCACATTGTGGAAAGAAACAACTGAAAATACTTGTCACACACTCATACAGAATGAATTGCAATATATAAATGTAGTATTCTATGCAAAGCTTGCTTTCATTTATGTTAAAAACAAAGGGTATAAGCTGTCACTTAAGGTGCACTGAGTACCTCTGGAGGGTTATCAGGGAAGCAGGAACAGTGTTTACCTGCAGGGAAAGGAACTGGGTAGCAAAGGGAGCTGGAGAATGATATCTTTGAACATGAAGGACATCACATTACCTTATCAATGTAATTATAAATTCCCCTACAGTGAAAGAAAATACTAAGAAATGATATTTTTCCATAATCATCTATATTCTTATAAACTTATAATCTACTGTTACTTATAGGTAATAAATTTAATCTTAGTTTTTAAATTAAAAAAATTTTTAATTGTTATAAAATAACATACAACATGAAATTGCCATCTTACCGTTCTTTAGTGCACAGTTCAGTAGTGCTAAGTATATTCATATTATTTGTGCAACTAATATCTATTAGATAACAATGCTCCATTTCCGCCTCCTCCCAGTGTCTGGCAACCACCATCTACTTTTGGTTTTGGAGTTTGACCATCAAAAAGATGTTCAGAGAGCATATTGGAAATAATGTAGCTAATTTGCAAACTAAAATACTAGAACTTATACATCCAATGAATGATATCACCTTAAAGGTCCTATCTTAGAAAACGATTTCCTTTTTCTTATGATCCTGCCATTATTTAATATATTTTGAAACTGGTATCATTTTCTGTGGCATGTTCATTTTTCAGTAATGTCAAATGTTTATCCTTCGAGGGCAGATAAAGTTTTGGAAACAGCACAAGGCTATTTGACATTCAGGTTCATGGGTCAAGTGGGTGATCTTGGTAGCTAGAACTGTTTTCGGTTTTGGTAATAATAATGAGATTGATAATAAAAATAAAATTTATTTTTAAATTTCTAAATAATAGTAAAATAATAAAATAATAAATAATAATAAAAATTCTAAAATAGAGTCTGATTTTCTTCAGCGCATACCAAATTGCCTCTGAAGATGATTTTAAAAGAGGAATTCTGAAAATATTTTAAGCTGACGATGTAACAGCATCATTGACCAAAAACAAAAAAAAAGTCAATTACAAATAGATAAGACTCATTCAAATGTATATATTCAGATTTGTTTCTATAAAAGCATTTTGGGGCGACTGGGTAACTCAGTTGGTTAAGTGACCGACTCTTGATTTCGGCTCAGGTCATGATCTCACAGTTCATGAGATCGAGCCCCATGTCAGCTCCACTCTGATGGCATAGAACCTGCTTCGGATTCTCTCTCTCTCTCTCTCTCTCTTTCTCTCTCTCTCCTTTCTCTCTCTCTCTCTCTGCCTCCCTTTCTGCCTCTCCCTCTCTCTGCCCCTCCCCGCCCAGCAATCACTCTATCTCAAAATAAATAAACTTCAAAAAAATAAAATAAAAAGCATTTCAGCAATTTACTTGCTCCGTTTACATCATTCCAGATTTACTTCTACATTTTTTAGGATATAAATATATATTTTTACTTAATTGTAATACATGTATGGCTTTTTATTTTTATATATTACCTTAAATACTTATTTTAACAGTATTGACATAGTCCATATACCAATATTTGTAAATACTTTAATCTTATTACTTTATGTAAATGACTTGAAAGTTGTCTAGGACCTGGATGATAAGTAGTATCTTTTTTTCTAACGTTTATCTATTTATTTCAAGAGGGAGAGAGAGTACACATTAACAGGCAAGGGAGGGGAGAGAGGGAGGAAGAGGTTGGGGCTGAACACTAAGGAGAGTTGCCTGGTGGGTGGAGGAAAGGGTAGCAAGGGCGACAAGCATGGGTGTGTGCTCAGAGTGCTGTCAGACCTGGAGCCTGTTCTGTTTGACAGGCTACTTGGTCTCACCCAGCAAAGCAAAAGTATGGTGGCTACAGATGAACCTCCCAAAGTATATCTAACAGCACACGGTGAGAGAGGCCTTGATGCATAAAATCTGTTGAATGACATTTAACACAAAAGAGGATTCCATTTCTTCCTGGCAAAATGTCTGTGCCTAGATAACTAAGGAGATGTTTTCTATTAATAGCACAGTACCGTTCTTTCCCCCTTTTCTATCTGATGACTCTGCTATCATGGAAACAAAGTTGGCTCCTTTTTTGAAAGACTGTATGTAAGTGAAGCTTCACAAATAATTGTAAACAAAGAACAAACTCTAACGGAGGGAAAAAGTAAATAGAAACGTATGTACTTTTCAAAATTTCCCCAAAGATTTTTCAGCGTTTAATAGAATAAACTATATTGATAATGTCTTGCTATCATATGTTCAACCCAATTTAATTTTCAGTACAATTTGGATATCAAAAGTAAATTCGGGGCGCCTGGGTGGCGCAGTCGGTTAAGCGTCCGACTTCAGCCAGGTCACGATCTCGCGGTCCGGGAGTTCGAGCCCCGCGTCGGGCTCTGGGCTGGTGGCTCAGAGCCTGGAGCCTGTTTCCGATTCTGTGTCTCCCTCTCTCTCTGCCCCTCCCCCGTTCGTGCTCTGCCTCTCTCTGTCGCAAAAATAAATGTTGAAAAAAAAAATTTTTTTTTTAAATAAAAAAAAATAAATAAATAAAAAAGTAAATTCATGTTTTAATTTGTACCTCAGCATATTTTCCATTGAACTTAAGTCAAGCGTCTGAAAATCTAAATAACCATAAAAAGTTTTATAGTATGCTAACAATATTGGAAATGCCAACTTTATGTATTTTTCCAAAATGCTGTGGTTAATATAGTAGAACAGTGACCATAAGTCACTTTTTCTTTTTAGGTAGATGGCTGAGGGGTTTTGGTTGTTTGGTTGGTTTGGTGTTGGTCTGATTTTAATTTGGTTTTATATTTTGTTTTTAACCTCTTAGACTTACCTTTTTTGTTTTGAGCTCCAACAGCCCTCTGGCTGTTGCCCAGTCTAATCATTAATGTTTTAGCACTGTTTATATTTTTGTGGCAGTGTTGTCTACAAATTGTCCTTTCCCCAAAAGCACACCTAACAATCAGAATTTCTTCCATCCCTCCTTCCAAGAATGGACATGACAGAAGGGGTCTGAATTCCACCTCCCTCTGCCACCTGACTGGCACTATGTCCTTGAGCAAATAGTTAACCTTAGAGTTTCATTTTCTCATCTGTGAGATGAAGAAAATAATCCCTGCTTTGCAGAGTTGCTGTGAAGATTAGAAATAATGTGTGTAGGGGCGCCTGGGTGGCGCAGTCGGTTAAGCGTCTGACTTCAGCCAGGTCACGATCTCGTGGTCCGTGAGTTCGAGCCCCGCGTCAGGCTCTGGGCTGATGGCTCAGAGCCTGGAGCCTGTTTCCGATTCTGTGTCTCCCTCTCTCTCTGCCCCTCCCCCGTTCATGCTCTGTCTCTCTCTGTCCCAAAAATAAATAAACGTTGAAAAAAAAAAATTAAAAAAAAAAAAAAGAAATAATGTGTGTAAAGTGCTCTGCATGCTTCTGGGCGCATGGTAAACCCTCCATAAATGGCAGCTGCTGCCTGGCCCATCAACTGCCATGTCCCTGCCATTGAGTGTGTCTCTGTCACTCCACCCCGTGTCTCCCAAGCTGTGCAGAAGTCACTCCCATATCAATATCAGATAATCTTTAGCATACCTAGACTATGCAAAGCTTAGTCTTGTAAAAACAGAATTGTGAAGAGGTGGGATGAAAGGGTACACTGTTTCAAATAATATTTAAAATTGTATTTTATTAAAAACATTTTTTTTAACGTTTATTTATTTTTGTGACAGAAAGAAAGACTGTGAGTCGGGGAGGGGCAGAGAGAAAGGGAGACACAGAATCAGAAACAGGCTCCAGGCCCTGAGCTGTATGCATAGAGCCCGAAAGGCAGATGCTGAACCCAACTGAGCCACCCAGGCGCCCCAATAGTTTTTAAAATTTTGAATTATTTAAAATTTGAACTTTATTTTTCTTTGCAACTTTCTGCTTTTTCCTTTTTGGGTAGGATCCTACCTGTTTTATTTTTCCCACTGTTCTATGATCTACAATGATGCAGCAATTATATTTAGTTTTGTATTATATGTATATATGCATGGGTGTATGTATAGACTGTTCCTCCAGTTGTGTGCACGTATTTATTATGAACAGAAATTTGAGGGTATAGCTATGAATATACACACACGAGTGTGAGAGAAAGTGTGTGTGTGTGTGTGTGTGTGTGTGAGAGAGAGAGAGAGAGAGAGAGAGAGAGAGAGAGAGAGAGAGAGTCATTTACTGGCTGTACCCACCATGTACCTGTGCTAGAGGAATTCTACCCCACCTTATTTTATTTTTCTATTACTGGATATGCAAGTTATTTCAAGTTTTCCCCCCCTTGGAATTTGAAGTTGCTGCTACTAACAGGACTCCCTCCTGATGCCTCTGTCTTTGAAGTACCACTAATGCACAGTGAATGGAAACCTTCCCACGCAGCGCGTATCTGCACAGCGCTCTGTCTGCTGCTGTGCAGACCTGTAGCCATGAGAGCACACAGTCCCTACGCTCAAGCCTGCCCACTGTTGTTACAGGCGGATCCAGTGTCTGCGCAGCCCTTTCTAACCGGGGTCAGCTCTGAAAATCACTGATACTCTGAGGAGGTTAGGGAAGCGGGTGTGCGAAAACTAGGGACCCTAAAGAATGCCGTGGGACTACCTTATTCTTCTGGGGGCCCCGGATACAGGAACTCATTTGAATTTTGACCTCAGACAGACCAGGAATGAATTGCTGTAGAGGGGTTTCCCATTTTAAAATTCCAGTTCCAGAACAGCACTGAATGTTCTACTGGGGAAAAAAAAGTACAGCTTTCCACTGATAGGCTCAGTGGTCACTCAAGATATGATGATAAGTAATGAAATGAAATCAACAGCTAGTCTCATTGTTCTTGAACTTGAAAATTACAGTGCAAAATGCTTTAAATATTTTACTTGGTATTAAAATAGAAACAGGTGAGTTTTGCCATTGCTGCTACCTTCCTGTTCTCTGTGAATTTACGTTGTGGATCTTCTATATGCTTTTAGGTAGTTTTAATTAAATGTGTATTAAAGTATAAGAACTTATTTTGGAAAACTTTAAAATTCTTGTTATGTTTTTAATTAAATTCTACATTCTACCTAGACAGGGTATTTAGCCTGTAAGCGTATAAAAGGGATTAGGTGAGGCTTGTTTTCTTTCAACATTAAGGTGAATTAAGGATATAATTTAGGTGTGAGTTGAAGACAGTCAAACGTTCCTTTATGTTTTTGTTCAGTTTTCTGAGAGCTATGCCTGTCATAAGACCAATCTGCTTGTCTTCAGCTTTGAAGGCGGGCATTGTGCTACTTAGTCACCGCAGTCCTTGCACAGCACCTCACAGCCCATCAACCGGGGGCAGGCGGATCCTGGGATGGCACAGTTAAGTGTCATTCTTGTGCTTCTCAGCAGCCTAGGCACCTCCATTTTAAACGTGGTTAAGGAAAAAAACCTAAAGGTTGACATTCCTGAAAATCTTTTAAGTTAACTAATGAGATACAGTTTTAAGACATTCAGAATTCTTTAAAA